CAGCAAAATGAAGGAATCTGGAACACATCATGCTGAGTGAAATAAGCCAGTCCCAAAGGGACAAATACCATATGTTCTCCCTGATCGGTGACAACTGACTGAACACCAAAAAGGAAACCTGTTGAAGTGAAATCGACACTATGAGAAACGGTGACTTGATCAGCATAGCCCTGACTGTTAATGAACAACTTAATACATTATCCCTCTTAGTAGTTTTTTTTGTCTGTTCTACTTAATATGACTGGTTTAATTCTGTAATTAATACACAGTTAGTCTTAAGTGTTGAAATTTAACTGAAATGTGATCCCTGTTAAACATAAGAGTGGGAATAAGAGAGGGAAGAGATGTACAATTTGGGACATGCTCAAGCTGACTTGCCCCAAATGGTAGAGTTAGAAACATACCAGGGGACTCCAATTTAATCCCATCAAGGTAGCATGTACCAATGCCATCTCACTAGTCCAAGTGATCAATTTCAGTTCACAATTGATCATAATGAAAGGACTAAGAGTCAAAGGGAGCACATAAACAAGTCTAGTACCTGCTAACACTAACTGATAGAATAAATAAAGAGGAGAGTGATCCAACATGGGAAGTGAGATACTCAGCAGACTCATAGAATGGCAGATGTTCTAAACAGCACTCTGGCCTCAGAATCAGCCCTAAAGGCATCCTAGTATATCCGGGACTTTTTACTAAAAATGTGCAGTGACTGTGATTTAAGGGTGGGTTATTATTATAGAACTGACTTAACAGAAGAATAGCATCACAGGAAAAATAATATCTAACATATAGCTACAGTAATTGGGCAAATAATGGAATGTTCGCATTATTGAACTCCCTCATTTAAAATATTTTAGGTGAATCTTAAAAAATGCTTCTAGAGTTGAAAGCATAATGTTTTATGAAACCTTTATCTTTGAATTGCTAGTTTTTAAGAAATCTTATCTCTACTAGATCATAAGTACAATACTTCTGGAGAGTAGTGTGTCACTGAAAAATTTCAGACATGAAAACGTGATGCTGTCATCTTTTCATATTTCTAAGCACCGTGTCAGAATGTCATAGTGTGGGTTTTGTTCTGGAATTGTAAACTGTCAGTGGGAAGAGTAATTATGCTACTTATAAAAAAATTATCTACTCTTTTGGGGAGAGAGTGTAGATGTTTCTTTTTCATTCCACTACATTTATGTCTTGCTGCCTAGGGGTTAGACAGCTTATGGATGGATGATGGTAGAGAAAGACACACTCATTGTGCACCAAGAGCTTGTGGTTCTTGTTAAAAATAGTGTTCAAAACCAGTCTGGAGGATATTCAGTTAATCTGACAGTGAGGGGGTGGGTTGGAGTAGATGTGGGAGGAACCTTAGAAATTTGAATGCATATTTACTGAGGTGAATAATACAATTTACATTTTTCACATACAGAGAAAAGAATATTTTGTCATTGCATTGAGTACTGAAGATCAGTTTCTCTCTCAACTAAGAGGCTGTCCACGACCACCTCTTCTATGTAGAGTATGTTGGGATATTTAGCAAATTGAGAGCAGACTAGATTTCAAGAGCTAACCTTGGAAGTATTAAGATGGACAGGGACAGAGATGAGGAGCCTCCGTTGTTTTAGCACATGAAAAACTGTCATAGTCTACCTTACAGTTTCATTATTTACTCTTTCTTCTATGTGGTGTATTGTTTGGGAGGGTATATCCCAGG